ATAACAAATCATTTCCCAGAAAGAAAAAAAAATGTAATTGTTATAAGTTACAAAGTATAATGTCTGGCACCCACGTACTTATTATTTCTTCGGTCTGTATTCTTTCGTCCATCTTCCTCCACTAACCATGCTAACTGAAGATAGTTACCGTATGTGCGTTTCATTTCGTTACAAAGCGAGGGTGGGGGTGGCTTTTAAATGAAGCAAATGTATAGGAGACCTTGCTCCAAACTACAATCGTGATGAAAATACATTTCACAAGGCAACATGACGTGAGTCTCTGTCTGATTCATAATCATAACCATAACACCCCTGTAAACAAACATCAATCAACAATAATAATACAAAACAGAAATTACTTTCGTACATCTGTGACGCTTATCTTGATGATATGACATGATGTAGCCTTGTATCGCAGTTAATGGTAATCAAATCCAAGCTCACAAGGAAAGACAAAAATCTCGTCACCCCCCCCCCTTAAGAAAAAATAAATAAATAAATAAATAATAATAATAATAATAATAATAATAATAATAATAATAATAATAATAATAATAATAATAATAGATAAAATAAAAAATAAAATGGGGGTTACAACATTTCTAGACGTGTGTATTGAAGGGGGACGGCCCCAGTTGTGCCACCCCCTCCAAATAAAACGAAATCCTCCAGTGATCATAGCCATCAGACTTACACACGGATGTGCACGTGCTACAAACGATAGCGTGTGACATAAGTCCGATTGAGTGTAGCTATCCTGATCATCTTCTAGAACTATTACCGAGCTGTCAGACAGTGTAACGGCGCCGCGGTCAATTCCATTGGAATTCGAATGTGCATTCTCGAGCCGCGGTGCAAGAGTTCAAGTTATGTAGCGTGCAATGCACCCGCGTTTGAATCAAGAAGGGATCATAAAATATATTATGTGCAGGGATGAATGAATGTTTGAACGGACTCCTTCAATCAGTTAGTAACCATGACATATTGTAGAAATGTTTCATTGAGATTGCATACAAATTGGCCAATTATGTACGCATCAGTTCTTCACACATAGGTCATAAAACCATTACAATGAACATGACATTTACAGAATGATATGGAATCAAAATGATCAACCATTAGTATAATTGTGTACATTTAATATATTGAATACCAAATAATATAAGATATTGCGGTTGAACATCATGTGAACGCTTGTAGAATGTTAATATATGGATCGTCGTAATTGTTAAATATTCTAAAGGAATTAACTATTTCATTACAATTATTTTCCTGCAAAGACATTCCATTGTCAACATTTTGAATCAATCAAACACAAAACGATACGTTTTCCAAAAATGAACAAAACCACGAAAGGAACCGAGGACTAGGAAACCCACCACGGGAACCGAGGACTAGCTGTACTGGTCGTACCAACATGACCAAGGCAATTCATCACAGACTTCGGATCGATAAAGTTTGAAAAGAGAGAAGGAAGAAAGAGAGTGTGAAAAAGATGGAGGAGATAACACGCGGTTTATCACGTCCCCAGATGAGTGGTTTGTCCGCCATCTCTGTAATCTATGTGAGATATGGACCTAATGATCCATCAATTCTGTAGGCTATGCGTTGTCATCAGCAGCATTCCCTGGCGTTGAGCGTCTGGGCTCGGTTAGACTGTAGCCGATCGGTTGGCCAGCCTTCAGAGAAACTGTCCCCGTTAAGCGCACAATTAAGCGCCCAGATCGAGAGGCAGCTACACACAAAAATTATAGAAAAGAAAATCTGTCATCCTTTTATCTTTAAAACATTATAGGGAGTGTTCAGTTTAGCTCATTCAGTTGTATGTGAGATGATAATCTAATACCAAAAAGGCGGCAGTTATATCATTCTGTTGTCTCGCAATGCATCGTACTCTAGTGTTCGCTATTCTTGTTCTCGATATGTTCCTTAATAAATGTCTGTCATCCAGAAATAATATTTACGTTCATTTCTTGATAATGATTTCAACAGGCAGATTGTCTTGCAACATTAATATGGGGAATATACACTTGCTCAAATCACTCCAGGTATTATCTGGCTAGACTGGCTTTATCATTGTGATTATTGTGATTTTTTTTTTTTTAATACAGCTATCAAAAAGCCAAGTCAATACAAAACCGATCAGTTTGGTCGACTTAAGATGGATAAAAAGGGTATACTAGAGTGGTACGTAAACGTAGTAGGTTAGTCGCCCAAACCATACGTTTCGACCTTTAAACCACAGACATCATGCTTGCTATGTACATACATGATTTTGTTTGTTCAGTGTTGTACATTGCCGTCAACGCTGACCGAGCGTGCATGTATGTTCTCTTTCATGCACACGATGAATGAATAGAATGAGTGACATACCATGGAGTATAGAGAGCCGGTAACCCCTGGCAGGGCCTAGCATAGTGTCTAGGCCTAGCTGTCTAGGCCTGCCTAGCTGGTATGTAGCACTTGGTAGTCTCTTGTAGTAGGGAGTTCACCTCCCTGCTTGTAGCTAGCGAACTCGCAGAAAGGTTATGAGGGGTTTGAAAGGCTTGTTTTAGTTTTTAAAAGGCCCCAATCTTACGAAAGAAAGATTATTTGACAGCAAGGCAAGGCAAGATTAACAAAAAACCAAAGGTTTGCGATCAATTGCAAATTTGAAACAACAGTTCTGATAGGTCAATAGTCAGCCTTCGATACTCTTGATTGGCCATTACTATTTTAGAATTGATTGCAAACCATTGTATTACGAGGCCCTAGTTAGGACCACGGAGTCGGAGCGATATAGCGCACAGTCCGTCAAAACCTAGTCTCAACATAAAGACTGACATGAGACAGAACGAGATCGGAAAAAAAAGAAGACATAATGCAAGAATTGGTCGGTTCGGCGGGGTGAACAAGATATTAGTGTATAGCTAAGATTTATCAGTAAGTTGGGCTAACACGGTCCCATTTGGAAACAGCATGGTGCGTGTTGCTAACTTTGGCAAGCATAATACCCCTCCTCCCCCCCCCCCCCCCTACCAAAAAAAAGAAGGAGAAATATCCGCTCTGCCGTCCTACTTTACTGAGTTCGCAGAATATAATCATGGGTGTCAAATTAAGCATGCTTCCCTAATAACGGATTTACCTGTTACGAGTTGAATTTAGTGGTCAAGAGAGAGGATGCATACATTTAGCTGTTGCTATGACGACACAAAATGTATGTAAAGTGCATGACCAAAAATAATCAAGTTAGATTGTCAACTGGTCACGTAACTGTCAAATCCTTTAAAAACAGATTATAGTGTGTAGGCTATTATATTGAAAATGCAGTTTTCGTTTCACGTTTCTCTTTATATCCCTAAAATTTGATTTAAACGCATGTCTACTTATTTATTGGTAATCATCCATACGTTTCAACTGACGTAAAAGCATTGAAGTTAGAGACAACAAATCAATGCGCAGGTGTTGACGAGAGGCGGGAAGATGTATGGAAATGACAGTGGTTAACCATGTGTGCGTATACGTGGAAAGGTTGGGTTAGTTGTGCATGGTTACCTAGAAACGGCAACATAATGAAGACGGAAATGAGCATATCCATGTGGCCCATTTAAGAAAAATGATTCCCGTATATCAGGGTATAATGAGAGAAAATCTCATAGTTCCATAGTCTCTCAGTAGCCCAGTACTAAAAGTACAATTTTCATTCTGCAAACTTATAGAACATGAAAGTGAACATGGTCATACAGAACCCGTCGTCTCTGCCCGATGGAGCGAGCGCGAGACACGTCTGAGTAGCAATGGCATTAGTAAGACTTTTCGGGTCATCGATGGATGCCGTGTACTTTTCCTGTCAATCTCTGTGGTCTGTAAACCTCGGGAAAGAGCTCTCGAGAAGTGATCCTGCACCTTTTAAAACTTAAAACAAACAAATCCAGGGAACGCGACAAAGTGCGTCGTTGTAGAGGAACTCGAAAGTGTTGGTTTGCCTGAAGTTACAAAATGGAGCATCCGATTCATGAACTTTATATTTTACAAGCTTAAACAAATCTACACATTCATTCATTCAATAGCAGACGACAATTATCAGGCAGATTTAAGAGAACTATCAAATGATATGAGTGATTACTTGAATATTTTACATATTTTAATGTTTATGACATTTTTGGCAAACTGACCATGATCATGATGATAAGTATGTCAGAAAACACTTTCTATTCATGTAAACATTTATCAGACCTTTGAACGCATGGCGGGAATGGATATGAAGTTAATAACTAGGCCTTTAGATGAAATGGCGCGGATTATTTCGGCCACTAGGTTAGATCGGTACCAGGGTCATTGAACCCCATTTCATGTTAATGACTTTATTAACAGCTCACCTGTGTACCATGACATCCATTGTAAACCTTCATCATAAATCATCAAAACTCGTTCTAGAATACGATTAAAACGGGGGCATTGAACCCCCCAGATGATCCTACATATATCATAACAGCCAATATCATTACCCGCTCGTTACTTTAATCCCTCAAGTGTGGTCTCACAAACTCTTTTGTCCTTACTTTATGTCTGGCCATCCAGGCCTTTGACTGCCCGCCCATTATGGATTCAAGGTTCCAAAAAATGTTTTTCGCGGTGTCGCACCTTGCTATTGTTAGCGTCAAACCGCGCAATTTCACATTTCGTTTAGTTTTTTGAAAGGCCGAAAGTCGCGAAATTCAAGAGTCGCCATTTTGCATCGAATACATCAAATTGCCATCGCGGAGGACTGTATTCTATAAGAGAAGAAAATAGGTATTCAAGTTATCGTCTTGGCATCATGTATTTCCCTCTATGATGATAATGTAATTGGATAGCTTTATTTTTTTTCTTCAAAACTTGGAAAAGCAAGATTATCATAATTCACAAGTCAATTGAATTTAAAAAAGAAAATGGATGAAGAGCTAATATACATATTTGAAATTTTTTATTTTACTATTATTTTATTCATAATTTTTTTTTTTTTCATTGTTTCTTTGTAGATATTGGCAATTACGCGACGGTTAAACGACTATCAAAATTTTTCCGGTTCGACCTCACGAGTTTCGAAGAGGACAGCCAGGGTGACGAAGTGACAGAGGCCGAGTTCAGACTCTACCAAGTTCCCAATGAAATGAAGGATACAGAACAACAAATCGACCTCTTTCAACTCATAACATCCTACAACAGTACAGAGGAACCGACCAGGCGATTCTTAACGAGCTGGACGGTATCGACGACTAGGGAAGGATGGCTCGCGCATGACGTCACAGATGTCGTGAGGGAATGGGTAGCTGATCCAGGTTAGTCACAGTGAATCAGTACACATTAATTCAATTTGGTTTATTGATCAAAATAATTTTTTGTAAAACAGTCCAAAGACTGAAACAAACAAAGTTTACATAGTTGCATTATTTCAAATTCTTGACATAAATACGATACGCTCGCTCAAATTGACATGGAGCAGAAACAAAAATAAGACATGAAGACGAGCATACATTTTAGACGTGAGTATAGCATTGACAGAGAATTAGGAGCGTCGCTTGAAATAAGGGGGCGGGGACGGAGGGCCGTATAACCAAATATTTTCAAAAGTTTTGTCAAATTATATTCCAACCAACACTATAACAATTAAAAATATTACCGAAGACAAGTTCTCAGATTTTGCCGAAGTAGAGAGGAAACAAATTAAGCATTATTTTATTGACATTATTGGGATTTATCTAGAGTTTTTATTGGGGTAAATAATTATTTATTTTACTTTAAATACCTTTATGTCTTGTCATACCGGAATCACTATAGAAGATGTTCTTTGTCCTGCAGAAAACCCCAAAATGTAACTTAGAAATATTTAATGATATAGGTGAGAATGATTTAACATCAATAGGCCACGTTCAAAAGATCCGGCGTGTGTAATAAATAATATAATTCCGCTCAATGTCGTTTCAATAGATTCTTTGAATCATTAATGTTGCGTGAAGTCATTTGATATATAGACAAGGTGAAACTGAGTGACCCACTTTTGTCGATGGGAAAATGATGAGATTCGTAATTCATAGAGGTTAGAACCGAGCAAACAAATAAACTCGTAAATTTCCATTTGTCTCCGAAGAAATATTTCCCCTATGATTGTGTCTAAGGAATAATTTTTTGTAAACATGACTGCTATGGCCTATATTTCACAATTAATGATGTTTCAAGGAACATTTCGTTCACGAATTAAAAACGGGAGTTGCCAAAAAAGTTGCCAAAAAAGTTGACCTAGCTCATCTCGATAATTTCAATTTTGACATCCTTTTGTTTTTTGTAAACAACTTTTTTTTCTTCATTTTCCGGTTTTTCAATGATTTTTTTTTTACCTTCTGACTTCTGACAGTTTACATTCGTCAGTATTTTACTTTGCACTTCTTCATTGTGCACTTCAATTCGAACACTGAAATTTTAAAGCACATTTTCTTCATAAATCCTATATAATTTGTACACTTTGCCATTGGCTTTAGCACACGTCTATGAATTACGATTGTCACCATTCACAAACACAAGGCATCACAAAGACAAAGAATGTGAGCAAAGGTATGACAGAAGAGGGAGGGGGCAGGGCGGGGTCAGCCATCGTAATGTTTGTCTGACGATGGCGCGACGCTGATTGGTCGATGCCCAGGGGACCACGTGGTTTTGGAACATGACCAAGTCACGCCATGGCTGCTGTCTGAGTAATTGGTCTGTTTATAACAGACTGCGTCTCAGACTGCCAGCAATCCGCGTTCATTACTCATCTTGCTATTTGTGACGACACGATCTCTGATGACAGCGACGTGTCTAGCTACCGATTGGTCTACCCATGGTTGGAGAGCAGTGAATGGGGGATCCAAAAAGGCATCTACTGAATGGAAAGATATCGTACAGACTGGTATCTTAGCTTCTTCTAGTCCTGGATGGGATGAGATGTCGTCCTTTTCGTCATCAAGTCTTTGTCTTGTGAATTAAAGAAAATGGAAATGAAAGAAAAAAAAATCACCAACCAAATGTACAAGTAATTATCATACGGAGTACAGAGGATCTGTTTGTTATTGAAAGAAAGATGCATAGTACAGAGCTCGACCCCCATCATGCCCATCTCTTCCGTCAGACTAAAATTAGAAACATTCTTGATTCTTTGGGAGGTCTTTGGTTTGCCACTTCCTGTGGTCTGGTATGTGTCTTGATGTTAGTGATGCTGGATTGGTGACAGCTGAACAGGGGTAACCCCCTCCCTTTTTACTCGATGGTGTCACGTGATGGCATGTTTATCTCGGGGCGTTCAGGGGGTTTTCTGGTCAAAAGTCTAACTAGTTGTTCACCGTTGTTTATCCGCGGTTTAAGATTTGATTTGTTGTTTGTCTAACCGCATTGAGATGCGGCAGGTGAATCATATAGTGATGTTTTCTCCATCTCACAAATTATCCGTTTCATAACGGAAATCCGAGGAGGAGGTTAAACCAGTGGCGTATCCATGCATCAATAGACGGGACAGAAGGAGGAGGTCGGGGGCTTAATGTATGTGATCAGTCCCCGTGTGTTGTAAACCTACTGTCAGTTGTATTGAACAAATTTCCTGTACTTATTAATGAGGGCATAAATCGGCTTCCCCTTCTCTCGATACGTCATTATAAACTAAGAATACTGAAAAGGAAGGAAACACTTTCTTCTCCTTATCAAAGACCGATGGTATCATACTAATAAACATCTTCAAACCACCAATCAAGTAATCTGGTCTTTTCAAACACATCTCCTGATAGATACCCTGTATATACCACCACAACAACCACCACCATCTCCGCAAACTCCCCTTGGCCGTGAGAAAATTATTCCTCACTGTTGGGATCCTTAATCGGCCTCTCGAAACAGTTATTGAAACATGCGATTCCTTCGCTGCTGTTTTGGGGCGATGTCAGCAGGTTCCGAGTGACAATGGAAATTATTCATAATGGTCCCGCGGATATTTTTATCAAGTTATGTAAATCAACAGTGATGCCACGAGGTAGTCCCAGCGCAGGTGAGGCTCGCTTATAGGTGTGCTTTGTCCCAGTTCCCTACTTCGACTTCTTGTCCAGTCCTGAGCGACGGGATAGAAAAGATTTAAATAGGTAATATTTATTTTAGGTATGTTAAAAGGTGTACTTTGAGTTGTAGAGAATTATGAAATGTATGAAAAATTTGAAAAAAGAAAACGAAGAAAAAGAATGAGCATCTTGAGACTTGGTTATCATAACACCGAGCACGGTCTGCTTGTATCAGACATGTCTCTCAAAATCATTTTCTCATGCAGGTTTTGTGATCTGTCTATTTTCGTTAGGTCTATAATGTCATTTCAACCAAATTTGTTTGATGATTTCACAAGTATTGCATAAATAATGTCCACCTTTACGACTGAAGATTTTTCATACTCTGCTCTTAATAATTGGAAATTTTGGAAATATACTTAAAGGGGTATGCTTTAATTTCACCCTTTCCTGCAATTAGGGTTTAGGAAGATCGATGGGTTCAGGCCAAAAAAAAAAAAAAAAAAATCATAGCATCTATAACGACGAAGAATGATGGTTTGCTCGTTAGTCTATGTGCCTCTTGTCAAATCTTTATATAAACATGAAATAAATATAAAATTAAATCAAAATGGGTGACGAGGACTGACGTCAAGAAGTTGTCATGGAACGAGTCGTGATATGTCTCGTGATTCACCATGAGCTTTGAACTATGAACTCATCGGGTCAAGTGTGGTCGGCGGACGGGTACTGGGAAATCCCCGAATTAATCGGAAAACGGCTGTCGTCTGTAGATTGTCACTATCCCATTATGCCGTTTGACAGATTCATCACTAGAAACTTAGAATCACTGGTATAGAAGTAGTATATTGTCATGATGAGCGTTTCGAAAGTAATTGCAGGTAACCTGACACAATACAGTCCGCAACCAAAATCAGAAATTTCGTATTAGCTATACTATAAGTTTGTGCATGGGCGTGTATTTCATTTTATAGGGAAATGAGAGTGAGATGTTAAGACATAGAGCTTTAGTACACACACTAAAAAGAGAGGACGAGGAGACAAAGGCTAATTTAAAACACAATCCAAACAGTCTGTTTAAAAAAAAGTAGAAATCGGAACATATTATTAAATGCGAGACGGGACACAATCAATATGTGTCAAGCGTCTGTAAATTGTGATATCAAAATATTTGAACACCGATTTTGTAAAGGCCAAATTGACACGTCTTTAGGTATACTGGGGAAGGCCGGACGGAGCTCTTTGAAAAGCAATCAAATGGAAAATCAGTCCCAATTTCTGCTTTATTTTTCTCACCTCAGTCCAGTGATGTCTACCGCATTTATTTAAAAAAAGACACAGGACTGCTTTCTGTGCAATGCGTATCATGCGCCTTTTGTATAGTCTGTCAGTATAATTTATTATGTACAGGAATTTTAGAATTTCCCTTAAATGTTGAAGGTTTGTTTCTAAACACGTGTTCATTACAAATGTAGTAAATCCCGCTCCAAAACTTATGAAAAAAAGTATAATATGTACTGGTCAACATTCTAAATTTGTAAAAGTTTTTTTTTATAAGAATACCTAAGACATGTCCTCTCTGATTAGTATTGCCAATGTGGGATTGTTTCAGAACTATAACGTTATTCAGAACGCATGGAACACTGTCTGAATGATGTTGTGGTTGAATCGCAGTGAGTGAAATAATGCATTTCCGAAGTTTTGCTAAGGGATCACTTCTCATTTCCCGCCAAAGGTTTTGACGTCTCAAGTACCACAAAGTACAAGATCATGACCTCTCAAGAATTTGTTTTCTTCATCCTTTCGGTTTCCACGGGGATATGAATATATAAACGGAAAATACCAATTCAATTGTTATTAAGTTTAGGCTTTTATAGCTGTTTGAATTTTAGAAGATCGATAAATCGTTAGTACAAAAAAGACACAATAAGGATTTTGTTGGTGTATGACAATACATGAAGTGTAACTGCTCAGAATGGTGTAATTGGATGTAATATTACTCATACAGTGGAAAGAATATGCATGTGGGCCTCATGTGCAAGAGGCAAATACATGTTTACAAAATCAATATATGGGTCAACAAGGTTAAAAACCCGGATCGCAAACCAAAGCATAAACAAAATGTTGAAGAATTATTTATGTAACTCATCTTCTGTCGAAAGATGACATTATGTATCTTATCAACAAAAATAAAAACACGCAGGCTCATTTTTCCCCAAACACCCAACTTTGACTAGATATGGGCATTTTCTGCCAAATCACTGTTATTTTTGGAAATCATATCGAAGCGGTATTCCTAGAGTATGACTTCGCTAAAAACTTATCAAATTTGCCACAAATAAGGATGCTTATTGCCGCATCTGCTTCCGACCTTTTAGGAAAGTAGTGTCAATGTCAATGTGACATCAAGGTCATCTGTCCTAATTACCGTCTTATTTTGTGCTCTTGAAAGAGCATCCCCGAAACGAGGTTATCAATGAGAAGAAGATGGTGAGCGTAGAATGATGATGAAAAGTTTTTATAACCAAATTAAGGTATTCTGATAAGCAGATAATATTAGGACATTCAGATACAGAGAGAAAAAAGGGGGGATGGGAAGATATTGTAGAATGACAAGCATACTGTCAACGTATTTGGCATATTCCTTCAGCTTTACTCATTATCATGAATAGTGCTTATACACATTAACAGAACGCATAATTACCGTAGTCGGTGACTTATCGATAGATGGTTCATTATTATACTCGGACAAGTACATTCATCCAGTAAACCCCATGTGTAAAATAATGTCGTTAATGCAACAATTCGATTTACCCAAAAATACCCTCTCTTATGAATTTCATTCACGTCTCCAGATTTGTTTATTCGTTTTTTTAATGATTTATTTTTGACTGCGGATGCCAACGTTAATATGACTATAAAGATAAAGGATAGCGTTATTGTTTGCTTAATGTGTAACACAAAGTTTTTTTTGTATATCCCTATAAGTACAATGATAACGTCGATATTTTCACTTTCCTTCCGAGGAAACAAAGAAAGGCCCGACTCTTACAGATATTTTACTTCTCGAAGCAAGATATTTTTTATTACTCTCGACAATCTTTTTAAGTAGGTCTACTTGAATTGACATTTGAGGTAGATTTATGCCACACATCGGACAACAAAGAAAATCGATCGATAAAGACAACATAATCATTGAGAAAAAAACAACCCAAAACATTATCTTTGAACAACATAAACAAAATAATTACAAAGACAACAAAACTATACTGTGGTATAAAACAAAAAAAGAATTAAATTTGTAAGGGAATGACAAATGTAGCAGTTATTCATTTAACAAAATATTAGCCTTTACCTCTTTCGAAACTGTGCCACTGACTATTTTTTTGGATTAGACATTCCCCAGGCTCGGTTAAACTGTCACAGTCACTATAAAACAATTTTCTTTAAACATGAAGTTAGTATTCATGGACAACTTCGTGACGTCAAGAGCAACTTCTTGAATTTATTATACCTTCTTTTCCTTCACCCTGCCCCCCCCCCCCTTTCTCTCTCTCTCTCTCTCCTCTCTCTCTTCAAGAAATGATGGCATTGACCCATGCCCTCCTTCTTTATTTTGGGTCAAAACCTCGCAAATATGGGAATTCATGTGTACTTTTTGATGCGCAAAATACATATTTCAGCAGCTATTTAATGTGTGTTTTGGGAATAAGCAATTCTGCTTCGTTGACTGAACGAGTCGTACAGGTGCAATGCCGTGTCACGATAAATTGCGTGCACGAAAAATAAATTCAGAGAGGGAGAGAGAAGAAAAAAAGAGTGGAAAAGTGTTGACAGATTTTGCATGAAATCTATGTGAAACAAAGCCAAGTTATGAAAGAACACGTTTTATCATACTTATATAAATATTTAATGTCTGCGAGTCACCATTATTACTTTGATCTTCATTCTCTTGGTTGTATATTCGCAGTGTTAACTTAAATTGCTATAGTAAAAGCAAACTTCTACGAAAGACTATGAAAATGAGCGTCTTGTAATGATCAAGTAATACACAGGTATCATTATTTCACAATTTACATGACAAACCAATAGTAAATTATTATTTTACTTGTACTATGAGAGGCAGGGGGTAAGTGCATAAAACTAGCCAAGACATAGCTTGCTATAGGCTTTTTCTTCCTATGAAAGATACAGAAGGCATTCGAAATTGAAGATGCAACGAAATATTGGAAACCAATTATTGCTAGTGTTATGTGTTCGGCCAATACCTGTACCGAAAGCGATAAGTTCAAGTCCATACTGTATACTTACGATTCTTCTCTTGTTTCTCTTTCTGTTCCTTTCATCCGTTGTCTAGAAACGAACCTTGGGTTTGAGTTGAACCTGAACTGTGGTGACTATCTGCTGGGACCCACTACCACTACACCAGCTTCCATCCCAAAAGACCAGCATAAACTACACGTCTTGTTTGCAGGTAAATTAATGAAGACTTTAAACTGATGAATATCTTTAAATCAACAGAAATCTCCTGTAGTTACGCTGGATATTGTAAGAGATTGTTTTTGTGCAATAGTTTTGTTTTTTCTTTCGTAGTGTACGATGTAATGATTACATCTTTGTCAATGACTTGTTGACGAATTATAACATTCACCTGTTACAATGTGTTACATTACAAAAGTCAGAATACAGAGTGCATACATTGTGTTTTGTTTAGTAGGACAGATTGGCCGAATTCACAAAGGAGGTTTATCGACAAACCTAGGTTTATGTGCGTCATGTGACGCGTTTCGACGCGTTTTTTTTTATAACAAACCTGGTTTGTCGACAAACCTCCTTTGTGAATTCGGGTCAATCTGTCCTACTCAACAAAATATAATGTATGCACTCTGCATTCTGACTTTTGGAATAAAATTGAAATACAATTTAATACAACAGCTTGTGAATTTAGGTTGTCGATAGTTACCTAACAAAAATGTATGCATTAAATTGGAGTAAGGAAAATCATGATGGTCCGATCGAAACGTGTTTTTTTTTCTTCTTCAAATATGAAGTTCTTGATGCAGTCACCTACTGGAAGTCTATATGTATTCAATTAAACTGAAGTCAATAATCATATCGATGGAATTATACTAACCGCAGACTCCTCAAAAGCGGAGACAATGTTGTTTGCACAAGGCAACACAGCCAAATCTTAATGGGTTCACGGTTCATCATGAATAAAAATTCAAACAAACAATACAATCTCTAGCAAGTCATGGTTGAAATAGAGCTTTTATTCATTGTATATAGTAGATAATAATGATGATTATGATGATCCTTTGCTCAATAAATTCATCATTTTGTCTGGCTTGTATTGATTTAATGGTAACGGGGTTATAATTGATTCGTTTCAGACCCCAGAGGTACCTTTCCAAGTATGGATAATGGACGTGGCGACGGCAACCCTAGAGGTGAAGGATTCCCCAGTATCAACCATCCTAGATTGGTCGTCATGACCCCTGCCAACCATTCACGAGGAAGCGAAAGCAACAGCGTCCGAAAGCGACGAAGCACCTCGTACAGCGGCTCCCAGTGCGACCAGAACTCACCCAACTGCTGCCTTCGCCCGCTCGTCATCAACTTCAGGCGCGATCTCAAATGGAACTGGATCCGACAACCCCGCAACTATTCGCCAAACTTCTGCGCGGGATCTTGCCCCTATATCCTGAGTGCCGACACGTCCCATGCTTCAGTTCTATCGCTTTATAAACATCTCAATCCGGACGCGAGCCCCTCGCCATGCTGTTCTCCTCAAACATTCAAACCTTTAACCATCCTTTTCTACAACAGAGGGCGTCCCGAGATCAGGCAACTTAATAACATGATTATAGAAACTTGTAGATGTAGCTAGTCCCAGATATTAGAACAACCAAACTACTATGACGTAGAAGGACATGAAGTTGTTGTTGGATCGTTGCAGGATGGTCCAGTGTAAATTAAAACTCTATTTAAAACAAGAAAACTTTTGTGAGGTACTACTAGATGCTTTGGCCTGACTGTGAACTATGTTGTGCTTTCTACAGGCTAAACTGCGCATCATATTGGACACCAACCCAGATGTGCTGAATGTGATGTCATATGCAAATGACTTCATCGTATCTAATTTTCTCTTTTTCTATATATTAAAAAACTGTACTATTTATCTTTTATTCTATTTGCCAAATCATATGAAGTAATGTTTTGTGGCACTTCATGAACTGATAATATGTTATGAGCAAAATACTATAGTGTACTAATGCATTTAAGATTGTATGTTTTCTCCTTGAACAATAGTGCTCTTGATTGTCATGAAAACATGTACTGTTGCTACGTCGGGCCCTCCGAAAAGGTTCCTTGTCATTATTTTATAGACATGTAGCAAACTTTCTTTAGAACTATGCTCTCATCTGAACCTGTTCGTGAACGGATTTTGTGAGTAGCGATTATGTCCAATCATGGACTTACTAGACTAGTAAGTCCATGGTCCAATCGTGTGCAGACGGCGAACCAGTGCCGGTTGTGGAAGATCGTATAGGATTATTTGAGCAGTATATTACAGTGGCATACCCAGAAATGAGGGGGAGGCGAATTCTTAGAGGGGGTCTTAATACAAGGGAGGGGGCATACGCCAGCCCCATCCTGTACTGGATACGCCACTGTATATCACTCTGGCAAGAGTTCTGCATAGTTTGTCGAAATCGTTTAGCAAATCGTGATGTGCTAAGCTCTGGTATATATAATATGCTAAAGGACGCGACACAACTTGTGTTTTGAATTATGTTATAATATATCTTGAAAAAAGGTATTCTGCATGGAGGTTGAATGTAGTTGTCTTTCACTGACAAGCATTAACAATACACGACGAGGGAACGAAGAGTGGTCATCTTTCTTTGAGAAATTCTTACAATGAAAAGAATTCTCAAGATATGTTTTCACCATCCTCAGGGGCATACATCCGTGTCAGAATGGTGTTGGAGATTAATATCGGTTTTGAAGCATTTAATTATGCTGTCTAGTGGTGTGTCTAGAATGTCATGAAGATTTTGAAATCATTTGGTTGGGGTGGTACAACCACCCGAACATTTTGTAACCCTGTCTATTATAGATAAGCACAGTTTTTACGCGATATGATCAAAGATGTCTGGTTTAGACAAAGAAAACTTTGTGAAATGTTTCACCACATTATTACGTGAAGATAAATACATTATGGACATCATTGACAGGTGGAGTGGGAAAGAGCGTGTGTGTGTCAGAGAGAGAGAGAGAGAGAGAGAGAGAGAGGGAGAAAGGGAAGGGGGTAGAGGGAGGGAGACAACACAATTAAGAGAAAGAGAGATGTATAGGGCCTATAGGAGCAGGGAAGACATACTTACATGATTTTGTAGGAGGATCTGACATTTGGTAATAATAAGAAGTTAATACGAAGCGAAAATAATTGTATGCTCTTGAATCGGGACGTTCTAAAGGAGAGGGGGAGGGGGGTTCCACTCAAATGTTCGTATTCCAAATTATGGTTAAATAATTGGCAATTCCACAAAATTTACTAATTCTAGGATTTGGTCATGCTTCGAAGAAAATTTGCCCAATCAGCGAAGATTATTGCCGACTTTTTTCTTCTTCAACGGAAATTCAAATTATTATTATTCTAGTGATACCTCCGTGGTAAAATACTTGTTTAGTTGTCCATCCGCGTCTATATTTAAATGGAATGATGGCATCTTCTTCTTTCTTTGAAGACGGTCTTATTAAAAAAGAATAATCTTGAAGTCATTCCAGAAAAGTATGTTTGATATAGTTTGCTAAGCTCGTTTGATAGCGCATGCTTGGAAACTTAATTATAGCTCATCTTCATGTCAAATAGGTTTGTGCATATAATGATTATTTGCATTTATTTTAGATTGGACTATATAGTTTGTGCTCTGCCTGCTATAGCAATCTATTTTAGACTAGAAAAAAAAAAAAACGTGAAACAATTCTTATAGGTCATAAGATTTGTTTTCTTCATTTCTTCATTTTCCTTGACAAACTGGATCAGTACATGATTTGCGTCAATATTTACATACAATTGTTTGTACCTTAAAAGAGATACAATTTTATTTCAACTTTAAAGAGATATTCTGTTGTTGGCAGTCACATGACTTTGAATCGACCGTCAACCTTATACGTTGAACGATTTCGAATTTTGATTATAAAATCGAATAAAAATTACTCTGTGTGTGAGAATAGCTTCTTTGTACATGTACATCTGAACGTATTTGTATAGGAAATAGATGGTTAAAATAAATTACTTCAAAAACAGGCTAGAATTTTTTCTTGGGGGTACTCGCCTAATCTAACAGGCTGAAAATGACATGTTTTACGAAGGTTGTGTGAAAAGCTCAGTTGTGTACACTGCCGCGTTCGTCAAGCCAGATTTTTCTTTTGCTCAATTCTTGTCTTGTAGTCCAATCAAATCTAAAGTCTGTTAATTATCCTCATGCATTATGGTGAATTGATTGATTTGTTAAGAAAACATGATCAAGATGTACGAGGATCATGAACGATTCGTAAAATATTGTGGTATCTGATGCCAGTGGTAACCAAATAATGTAAATGCTGTTTCAGAATTATGAAAGGTACTATGAAAATTTTCAAGTTGAATAATGTGAATGCTTGAAATATGCACAAATCTGTCGTAAAATGCTTGCAAAAAACAAACATTGGATTTATAGGTAAAAATATTGAATAAGTGTTTTGCTTTATTGATCATATACTGCCCATTACTGGACCGACTTTATGATTTTTCCACTAAACTGTTATAAATCACAAGCACATTTTTACCCCCCCCCCCCCGCATCTTAGTTGCTCTTTGTGGGTTGCTTCCAATAAGAACTCGCTAAGTTCTTGATATACATTGAAGACAAAAAAGAAACACAAAATTGCATTTTTCGATCTAATTGAAAAGCATTGTGTTCTATTTTTTACGAGTAATAGAACGGGACGTTTTTCAAAAGAGTATTACTGTAGATAGAAAAGTTATCCCGCGCTTCTGCTTTGTTTGCGCGCGCAAAATATACCTTCTGCCGAAAGTAGCATACTCCTAAATATCTCATTTGCTATAATACTTCATTCTTGTGTCTCCTTTTATAATGTGTTGTGTCTCCACAATTCAATTTTAAAAGAAAAATCTATGGCGTTGTGTGATTCCTGCTTGTGATATGGTCCCATAGGGATATAGATATTATGTAATATTTCTTATTATTAATGTACATCTTGAAATTGTTATTAAAAATTAATGTCAGTCAATGTACTATAAATGAAAAGTCGTCCAGGCTGTTTTTTAAATTGAATAATGCAGATTGAAGAGGAAACGAGGGGGAGAGAGAGAGAGAGAGAGAAAGAAATAAGGGGCTTGGGGGGGGGGGGGGGAAGGTTAATTCTTGTTAAAGGGAAATCCAACCCAAATAGATGACTACTCAATTTTTTGTTTGGGATACAGTCAAGGGACAAATACGCCTCTTGTATAAATTTTCTCTGTTTATGTTTAAAATATTACATTTACTCATGTAGGTTTCAGGGAAAAGAACTTATTTTTGAAGCATTTGTTTCAATGGTAAAGTTCAAACAAAAAATAGAATATAAAATTGCCCAAAAGAAAAATAAGTTACAAGTCCATTTTAAGAAATGGTCTATCAAGTTTAACTGAAATTTAGGAGTAGTCTTGCAAAGCTCTGTTGTCATTAACATCTTCATTGGCTTTTTGAATTGTAAACTTGCCCTCTGGGAAAGTATATGAGTGTGTGTGTGTGTGTGTGTGCGTGTTTATGGGTGCATGAGTGTGTGCCTGTTTTGTAGTTTTAAGATGATATTATATTTTATATTGCTGCTTTTACTTTGTTAATTTTTCAGAAAAAACAATAAAAACAGAAAGAAAAAAAAAAAAAAAATAGATGACTACTCTGAAGCAAACTGATGGAAGTTTCAATTAAATCTGACTAAATAGAAGAAATGTATAATTCGTTGAAAGTTGAAATCTACTCATTGCAAGGGTTCGATTGCCCTTTTAAGTGCTTATAACCTTGGGCAGGCTGTTTTGCAACGAAGAGCTGTACGATTAATGTGTCTCTACGCTGGGTCGATAAAACAACATTATTATTATGATTACTACAATTTCTGAGAAAGAAATGTCAAACAAGGCTCAAGGCAAATAAATTAATTGAATGAATTGATGCTCATCTCATGGAACAATTGAAAAAAGTTGATACAAGAAATGCTAAAAGTAAAAAACTTGATAGGTTGGGAACAAATAAAAGGGGGAGCACTAATGAAATGAATAAACAAAATAGCATGCGTTTGTGGTTGAGAAATTTGAAAGAAACATTGACCAAAAGGTTAATAGAGTGACATACTTTTTGATGACAATCACATTGTAAGGTAGCCTAAAGTGCAAGGACACATTAACCAATTACCTACTCTTTTAAAATACTGTAGGAACCACCCCGTAACTCACATCATTGAAACTTTCATGTGATGATTATCATCAGCGTAATACCAGTGATGCATGATTCCTTTGATTTTCATTCATGAGAAATATTTGTTGAAGTTGTAAGAAGGCATTTTCAAGATGATGTGATATATTTGAAGATACTTTGTTTAGTTACATGTAAGTGTGTGTTGGAGGAAAATATGGCATATTCTGTTTTCACACCATCGATTCAAAATGTTAGAAAGGGTGACAACACTTGTTAAATACACCTTCTAACACTGACAATTCCAACAGTTATTCAGAGCTATTCAAATCTGCACACTACTTTACAATCAGCATACCACAATTGACAAATCTGTAAACATTTCCAGAAAAACAATTCACTTTCAACACACATAAAAGACATGCACAATAAAACACTTGGACACATCAATCAAGTTTCATTTTCTAAACAATATATTTCATTTCAAGGTTTATTTTTCAATAGTTGAATCTGGTTATAGATGGATCAAAGAATGATAATTTGATACAATTGTCAAGAAAAACATATCTTACACACAAATATCACACCTTTATAAATGTACAATATAAAACAAAGGTTATAAAAAGATATAAATGTATTTTACATATAAGAAGTATGATGCATTACCAAAATAATGTTGTTTCTACAAACTGTTACGGTTTTGAAAGCATATCTTCAACAATTATTGTGTAAAAGTGTCGGAGCATGATCTCTGTCAATCAATGTTTTTACCTTAATACGGTCACAAAGACTTTCAAGAAATCAAATCAAGGGCAATTTTAATACCATATTGTATAAACCATAGAAATAATATTTGGATTACGTAATACATCATTGTAATATTTGCGCATTCAATATGATGGATAGAAAGGCTACTACAGAAACATTACCTTGTTTTTCTAAAGTCTTTGTGATTGTTTTTGCTGTAGCAAAATGACGATAATTAAATAATTCCTAACAACAAAACCTGGAACATACCTATCTTAAACATATAGTGAAATTGTGAATGGTTGGTTCTTCACCAAGAAAGTTAGGGGTTTAATCAGAAGTCACTTGATAAAAAATCAGCAAGTCTTCAGGGTATATTATTTAAGATGTAAAATCAAATTTTGATTACTAAAAAATAAAACCAAACCGTACTATCCCACTGGAGAAAAAAAGAAAGCAGCCATCAATCAAAATTGAATGATTATAATGATTCCCTTGACAATTATTATGATAACTGTATCATAATAAATCAAAATAAGTAATAAAATCTGATAAGTTTTGTTGTAAATAATCTCTGGTAGTTACCAATTTGGAGCAGTGACTATGGACACTTTTTCTGATTGAGGTTTCAGAAGTGCAAGACTATATTACATATCACAGGACAGCCATAACACTTAACCATATGAATACATCTAAGAAGCCATGGATGGCGGCTGTTCATATACACAAGCTGATAAAACAACTTTCTCTCTAAAATATAAAAATATTTACCTTCTAAATAGTTTACAGCTCTTAGAAAGACACTGACCTTATATTATACATCAAACAAAAAGGCCTCTGTAGTCAATAAAAAGTTAAGTTAAGTTGGCACACAGATGCAATATATAATAAATAGTGAACAACACACATACAATTAACAAAACTCCACTCTGATATACCTACTCCTTCCATGAAAAAAAGAGAGTACAAGACATATAAAATAAAGATATCGCTCCAATATTGTACCAGATGAAGCATTGGAATGTACGTTGCACACATTGAAAAAGTTATACCGGTAGGTAAATAGAAAACTGGCATACAGATTTCTTTCAAGACAAACAAAGGATATACAGGTTTCACTGGAAGATGTTGTCTACATTCTAATTTCATAGATAGAAATATTGCTCTGGAATCAATCTGCATTAAAAGTTTAATCGCTCAAAAACTTTTTTTCTGTCTTAAGGCACATTTGTACTTGTCATGGCAACTTGTCAATTTAAAAACACAACACTCCAAGCTCACTTTATTCTACAAAGAATTGCTGAAAGCCTCATGGTAGAAATTCACAGACCATTGAATGGGGAAATATAAAACAGTGGAAATCAACTGTGTGACATGAATGGAAGATTTTTAAACAGAGCAAGATTTCTTGGCAGTGCGAAGGAAAAGTATCAAGGAATATCTGTATCAATCTCTAGTTTCATTCTATTGTTATTTTTCTATATCTATGGCTTTTGAATTTGATCAGAATAGGTTTATTGATGAATAATATCCAGGCTAAGGGATTAATCTACATTAGCCTCTCCAAAACCATGTCAAGCATTACTGAGTGAAACTGTTCACTCACAATCAGTATTGGCCAAGAAAAGAGAAATTCCCACATGGCACCTCCTTTCCTCTCTTCTACATCAAATTTATATTCCTACATATACTATAACATAGATTTTTAAATTCCAATTTCATATAATTTAACTTCCTCATTTAAGTTCACCGGTACAGTTTCACACATTTCCCTTAAAGGTATAGCAGCAAGGATATCTCAAAAAAGCAAAGACTTTTGTGACGTGGTACATTTTTCTCTTACCAACTGATATTGTGTGATTTTTCAAGGAAATACTATTGAATCAAGACCTGAAATAGTTTCTCTGAGGGTTTAAAGCTTACTTTAAGTTATATACCTTGCACACAGAAGCAGAAGTACATTTGTGCTCTCTTATGAAGAATGAAGCCCGTGGTCAATGACGTATCACTTGTGCTTGAATAGAACCTGAAAGGATGGGAGAAGAAGAAAAACAAAAGGGAAAAATTGACTTGATTATTCATGAAAACTGTGGCTGTGCAAGAGAGATTTTACGATGTATCTGTAAGTGAATTTGGAGAGAAAGAGAGGGAGGAGGGGACAGAAGAAGGCACAGAGAGAGAGAGAGAGAGAGAGATCTTGATTGAAAGAGCATGAGAAAAATGAAAGACTGCATAATAAAGAAATACACGAGTGGAGGGAAAAAGAGACAGAGAAACAGAGGTGAAGGACGAAAGAGATAGAGACATGAGAGAGAAAGAACATGAAGGAAAGAATGAGAAGAAGACGGATTCCAAAAATAGCATCACGTTCAGTGAGATGCATATGCCACATTCTCAGACATACTGAGAAAACACAATGTAATTGCGTATTGGCAGACCCCAATAATTACCATCTAACCATCATCAATAGTACATTCACCCCAATTAGATGTCAAGTCTATGTCCCCCCTGCTGCTTTGACTGGTAGACCCTCAGACAAGGGGAGATATAGCAAGAGATGGATGGATGGATAGATGAGGCAGAGGTGAAGGGTGATGGAAAATAAATGAAAGAAAACAGAGTGGATGATGTGGTTACTGTGTTTAACTCCAGGAATTTGATGAAATGAGACAGCTTTACAACAAAGGCAAGAAGATGGCATGGCTGGGAGACAAGACAAGGTAATTGTTGTTAGTTCCTCTCATCACTTTATGAATATTTGCTTTTTTTCAATTCTAAAACATTGAACATTTCATAGTTTCTTTGATAGTAGAAGCATTTGTGAAATTTTATCCAACAGCCAAAGTATATACTTTTCAAACATGATTTTATTCATGTCAATCATGAAACAAAGAAACACGGATGAATCTACAATAAATTCAAATCTAGGTTATTCCCCTCAATATCATTTATTTAAAAAAACACCCAAACCCCAGAACATTACTATAATTCATCATAAAAACAAAAAAGGAAATTCCCAATATTAACACAATGCAAAATATAAATGCCACAGAACAGTCCATTTTTTTCTTGATAATGGAAACAATTCAACCTAGACTAAACAAAAAGACAAAACAAAAACAATGTTAGTACAATCCCACATTAATTATTCAATGATGACAGTGTTTTCTTTTAAGTCTAACATATCAATATTTCCCATTTCTCTTCAAATCTCTAAAATACCGGAAGGTAAATAAATAAATCTTTCTCCTTTTCCTTAACAGCTCATCTCAGGTGTAACCCAATATTCTGTTAGTTACACCATAGCATCCTGAATGTCAAGAGATCACTTCCCTACTCTGTCCTGTTTTGATATGAATATCTGTTTTCTTATTGTCAATATTCCAGTTTTTACGATGGAACAGAGGAAGTGTATTGATATGGACACTCCTTCTTATGATTCAAAACAGACCAAAACAAAGCTAAAAACATGTCTTGATGACCCATAAAATCAAGTGGATGGGAAGCGTGATGGCATAAATCAGTTTTAATATTGTCAAGTATTAATGGGGCTGAGAGCCAGAAGGCTGTTGTATAGTATTAATGACTGCTTTGAGAGAAATAGTTGTTTTTATACGCTCAAGGGAAGGTTAGAATTGTGCTATTACCCGAGGCGTGCCGAGGGGAATAGCCCAATTGTAACCTTCCCGAGAGCGTATAAAAACAACTATTTCTCGAATATTAAAGCAGTCATTAATACTTTTATATGCCGAAAAAAAATAGACTAAAAAATAAAAAATAAAAAATACTTTTTTTATTTTGTCGAAGATGAGATTCGAACTCTTGCGTACAAAAGGTGATGTTACTAAAGTCAGCGCCTCAGACCTCTCGGCCATCGCGCGCTATTCACATGCTTGGCAGTTTTGTACAATATATACATTAAAATGGATTGAAACCGGCTTCGCGTGTGATGAATGCTTCGCAAAAGCTCCATATACGGACTCTTCTTTTACTTTTGCAATGCATATTGGCACGAACTTAGATCAAGATCTATCGGCAGATGTTGTTTTTTTGTTTTTGGAAGTTTATTTTCGTCTTCATGTCAACAATGCAAGATAAAATTGTCGGTAAGATCGATCGAGATTCAATTGTATTGAAATTACCGACCAATCCTTCGCACACATACGGTATCCTCGATCGCTCAAACCATTTTTTAACATGTAAACCTATGGGGTAACCATGGAGGCTGACCTATTTTTTTAATAACCATGGTTATTAAAAATATTAAATGTTTTATGCATGGTTACCGGGAATTTTACAGGAACAGTTGAAGTTTATGAATGCAATTTCGACCAATCAGATGGCTGGATTACTTAAGTGAGGTATATAATTCTTTATATCGTCTGTTTGGAGCCAGAAGGGTGCAAACTCATGCCCTTCAGGTTCTGAACAGACGATATACAATGAAATTAATAGTGAATGCCCTAATGGCTTTCGGAAGGTGATAACTATAACATAAAAAGCACATTTGCTACCAAGTTCCGAAAACTTTATTCTGCTTGGTACATCTTATTTCTTAAATCATCATGAAGAATAAAATCTACAAGAAAAATAGCGATTTGCACCTTTGTTCACGACTCAAATTGTTCAACAGTCTGCAAGACATTCCTTATGAAATGGTTCATGATGGCCTAGAAGTCATTGCCTCCCAACATCATACTACCGGTCATAAAGATAGCTGGCAAACTATTTTATTGCTTGTTACACATGTATGAATGTCACACACATTAGGGTATTGACTTCTAAGAGAAGGTTCCCTATTAACTTTTAAATACGGCTAATTATTGGATGTGAAAAAGATTAAGAAAAACAATGAGTTAAATGGTTTTATATAAACAGCTGGAGCAATGAAACAAGTAATGAAACAAGAAATACAAATATGGATAAATTTCCTTCTGAGACTGGTCTGCACTATGAAGTGACATGATTAACATCATTAAAGCAACTTGACAAGGCAGAACACCTGCCCCTACAATCATCAAACATCAAATGTAACCAATGGGACTACAGCCCACTTCCTCTGGTCAGATTTATGGTAGAAGTCAAAGTTAAAAGAAAAAAAAAGTCAGGACAATGACCAAGGATCGAATCCCCTTTTTTTCCTTCTTTCATTTTATTTTAGAAATGAACTTGTGTGGTTTTGTTGACACAATTTTAACACATGTATTACCGACAGATTAACCGAAACACAAATAAAAGGTGACATGTGCGTCTTTAGAAGCAACAACAGCCCCATCAAAATTACCAGGTTTATTTTACTAAGATTTTTTCTAGGTACAACAAGGATATGATGAGTGATGAAAGTGCGGTCAGGAAGTTATGATCAGCAATGAAAGTCAAAACCACATCAGATCATACTTATATCAAGAAAGAAAGTGTAGAATAAACAAATCAGGCAGTTATGACTTTAATTTGATCGGTACATATAGGCAATATATTGTTTACGGAACTTGATACATGAACATAAAAAGTATGACACATAATTGTACTCTCCTCATTCAAAGCTAGGAAAGCGAATGATAGAGTGCTGTGTAAATCACAGCTCCTCCATGAAACTATCCTGTAGAAAAATTGCATGGCTTTAAACAATATATCTGCACTGTGAAACACAGAGTTCTTGGATTTGAATATTTAGGTCTGGACCACGAAGCTGTTATTTATTTGGAAACTACATTATTATAACATTAGTGTTTATGTAAGGGAACAAGATTACTACCTTGTTTTTATTATGACATAAGAAGGCACAATAGAAATTTGTTATTTTATTTTTTACTCTCAGTGCATGTACTTCTATTTGCATCAACAAAATATGATGAGAAGAAGAAGAATTTTAAAGTGGTTTCATTGTAGTGTAAAATCAAAAAGAAATCTTCCAGACCAGAGAGAAATCCCTCCAATTCGTTCACATTGAGAAAAGAAATAAATAAAGAGGGCAATAAAAATGGGAGGCAAGAGATGCAAGAGCACCTCCCCTGGGTGAATATATCTGACTAGTAATGCAGTTTTCATTCCCCTCGAGACCCCCCAATACATACATGTCCTCAATCAAGGACGAGGTCCCTAAGCCACACTCAAGTAGGGGTCTTAACTCTTGAGATGGGTACAAATATTGCCTCAAGTCCTTCCAGTTTATGTTCGTTTTAACTCACCAACCTTGTATTGTCCCAGGGATTTACTCTCTAAACTTCAGTCTTATTTGCCAAAGACAATTCAAACCCTCTTTGATATTATCCTGATCCAATTTTTCAATTTTCATAATTTCCCCCCCTCGCTTCCTCTATTTTTATCTGAATGACTCGAGGATAATGTGTATTGGTTTAAAGGGTGAATTCCTACCTCAAACATCTTTGTATTTGGGAACTGGAAGAAAGGAAACTATTTCGCAATCGTTGTTAAACTTCCCCTCCTTGTTAACAATAGGCATAAACAAAGAAAGATGTGGTTCCATTTACTTTTATTTGAGAGAACATCAAAGTACATATAGACTTAGCGTTTGAAAGAAGGTGAAAATAACAGATTCAATAAGTGTCACTAAAAATTCAATTCATGAAGGAATCACTTCTTCAAACAATGAATCTTTGGAGATGTTTGATGTTTCATTTTTCAACCATACTGCAATTTAAAACATGGATGCCTGGCACTCAAGATGAGCAAATATTGAAGGCAGAATGTGAAGGGCAATTCACAAAAGAATATTCCCTACAAAGAAGGAGATCACCAAACAAAACAACAAAAAAAGATCAAGAAGAATAGCAGAGAGAGATAAGTGAAAGAGAAATAAAAAGGGAGATAGAGAGAGAGAGAGAGAGAGAGAGAGATGAAGTGGTGAATAATATCAGAGAGTGTTGCAGTGAACAAAGGCACGTGATGAGGAGAATCAAAAGGATAGGGGCACTTCTGTATCTATCAAAGCCTGGAGAAACCACAAAGCACTCGCTCATGGAAAAGAAGAAGACACGCAAAATGCCTTTAAGGGTGGCCCAGGCAAGCTGCTGGAGCTGGAAAAACAATTGGCGGGTGTTTGGACGAGGATCAGCCATGATTTGCACTGGGGATAGGAACTGGGCCAGCGCATCTGTCCTCGGTGTTACACGCACCTACTTTGTGGGTCACTGGTGTTCATTGACGATCGATGGGGGCCTTGGGGTAAGAGGAGGAGACCCTGGGCTCCCTCTGGGACACACCGACCAGGACCAAGTCAAGAGGACTAGACTGGAAGCTTCCAAGAACAGAATGGGGGTCAGGTCGATACATAGACACCCGGGGCCAGTTTCTCGAAACTGTCATAAGTCTAAGTTTGTGGACATCCCATAGAAACGCATGTTAATTATATAACACAGTTTCAATGGGATGTTTAAAAAGTTAGACTTACGACGGTTTTGAGAAACGACCCCCTGAGGAGCAAGGGCTTCTGGGAAATCTATGGCTCTAGACGGTCTTTGTAACAAGGGTCTCACTACCATGAAGGAGGGAATTGGAAATGTGGTAGGCACGCCAAGAGCAAGATTTAATACCACGCGAGGATGAAGTTGATCTGTGGAATGCATAGATACCACTTATTTATCACCACTCATAATTCAGGAAAGACAGCTTTCCTTTTTCATTAGGGATACATTTTCCTTACACAAGTTAAAGAAAATAATATATCATAAGTGAAATGGGGATGGGTACCGATTACTGGTAGATATTGAATCTCAAGTTTACAAGGAGAGTCACACTGGTTCAAAAAGCAATATATTCAGTTTCAGTTTCATTTTCAATGTGCAATTTCTTTTCATGCATTTTGCCTCAATCATGCAGTCTAAACATAATCTGATTTATCTCAAGTGTGAAGGAATGTAACTTAATGGAAAAAATGTGACCAGCTGATTACAAATAAGCCTCCTTGTAGTTGTAAAATCCATTTCCTTCAATTACCCAATATTTCACACAATTTAAGTAAATACACAATGTTCTTACAAAAAAAAAAAATACAATTTAGGGAAAGAAATACTTGACATAACATCCAAACTTTGTTTCCAACCCATCATGATTAGATAAATAAACCTACTTATGATGCAATTTACAGCATCTTCTTGGGTAAATTTTCAAAATTTTCCAATTAACCTCACATCTCCCTTGGTTGATGGACTTCTTTCAAGTTTAAATTGATGGATGTTCCTGGCTGTTTTTTAACTGGAAATTTATCAAGTATTTCACATTGGGTAGGAGAGAGAATTTGTCACGTCCTCGATCAACACTGGGTGAAGATGATGTAAGATTGTCCAATTACAAATTTTTTTTGTTGGACCTTCGATGCATTCCCAAATTTGATAATTGGGCAGTGTGCATGGTAAGCCTTGAACTGTTTTGGAGGGCTGGCTGAGACGGCTTTTGAATCTGCCGTCACACAAAACCAGAGCCAGATGTAGGTAGGCTTGCTGATGGTCGTAGGAATCTGTGAGTCTACTCTATTTCTCTTCAAGGTGGCATAAAAAGATATAGATTTGTCCCTGGTCCTTTTCTCTCTAGAAATCTTATTAATAAAATGGGAAGGCCTGACTGGCTGCCATACAGAATATCACGTAATGCGCTGTAGAAGCAGCTGAAAATGTACAAGGTAAAGTCAATGTCTTTATGAAACTTCAAGATTTAACTACGAACCCTCCCCCCCCCCCCCCCCCCCAAAAAAAAAAAAAAAAATCTGGGATGATGAGTTGGGTAGTTCCAAATCCATTACACCAAGGATAAGGTGAAGGTAATAATAATAATAATAGTTGTTCTTATAAAGCGCTTTTCGGGACCGCAGGCCCTCTCAAAGCGCTTAACAGATATATATTATCCCGGTCATCGGATTCTGGATTACATTCTCCACTCCCAAGGTATGTCCAGATAACCTACCTGATCCATTATGATGTTTGTTTGTAACTCCTCCAGTCGTGTTGCTATACTTGAGACTGGTGTAGAAGCTGTTCCCACTGCGACTAGGACCCTCTTCTACCTGGGTTGTCCTGAAATTCAACAAAGAAAGCAAAGAAATGTGATACACCACTAGTTTTTGTTCTAATTGTTAGCTAACATTTATATAAAGGCTTTAATCTCAAAGACCATGAGATTATCAATCACTTTATTTTATTTTATTTTATTTTCAATGAATGAGAAAAGATGCATTACGAATCTGAAATTGAACAGAGAGGGAGAGGGAGAGAGAGAGAGAGGGAGGGGGAGAGGGAGGGGGAGAGGGAGAGGGAGAGAGAGAGATAGAGAGAGAGAGAGAGAAAGAGAGAAAGAGAAACAGCAACTTTTGCATCTGACACGCCCTCAAATTGACTTCTTGTACTACTGAATAAAAAAACAAAAAAATATCAGATGAGGAATGCTGGCAATAACCTCTGGTCTTTAGCAGATTTTGTTTAATCTCTCTTGAAAGGGCATGACAACCTGATGAAATCTCCAATTAGCACCTGGTAAAGGGAGAAACCTCAACATTTGATATGAACAATACTTGAAAGGAGGTTGCTCTGTGGTGTGAGGATACTGCCAGGCAGAATCGGAAATTCAATGCATCTTGAAAAGCAATTACGCATAAACAAATTCAGTCAGGTCATTTTTCTCTACGAGGTAGTGAGTGATAGCATGTTGAAATTAGTTGTTTCCTTGTGTAACAAATGTATTTTGCAGAATAGAGTATTGTTCAAGTCAGTCTGCACCTTTTGCTTTGTTTTTCTTTTGACTGAACAGTAGTATATATGCCCCTATTCACTTCTGAATTCCGCTTTTCAGTTGTTGCTCCATTGAATATGGAATTCTGGAAAATAGGTGCTCCCATGCACAAGCCAAGAGCTTGAAAGAGGAAAAGTATTCTCACAATATCAAAATAAACCCAGAATTGACCTTATTTACTCTCGATTTTTCAGCAGAAGCTTTTCAAGTTTAACTTACAAATCAATTAATCTGTACATTTCTCAAAATCTGAACAAGGAGGAGGAGAGGAAGAAGAAGAAGAAAGAAAAAACAAGAGAGAGGAATAAATTCACATCCTCAGACACATAGACAGGAAGGAAAAGAGAAAATGAAAGAATTACACTCCAGGACAATTTTTATCATTTTATTTTTCATAGACTTTTACATTCATCATGTCTTTAAATGTATCATAACTGGAAATCATCACTTTAAAAAAAAAATTGGTTGGAAATACAAAGATGTAGACTGAAATTGGCAATACCAAATTGTAGAAATGTGTGTTCTTTTTTGGAATGTCAACATTCTCTGGAAAATAAGGAATGCATCAACATGAGGTGCTCTACAAAGTCCTCCTGCTTGAAAACTACTCTAAATATAGCTCCAGCTTTAAAAATAAATCAAGCGGCTGTATTACATGAAGCAAATGTTTGAAAAGATGTGAATTTGATTGATGATGCAGTAAGAGCTGATAGGTTTGTTAGCTGGCTCGGCTGTTATATTCCAAAGAAATGGGATATTAACACAACTATGTCAAGAGAGTGAACTCGACTCTTAGCAAGACATTGAACAAATGGCAAGGTCACTGAGAGCATACTGTATGCTCCATGACTGCCTGCCTGGCAGAAACTCAATTTCAAGGGCAATTAACAAATGGTATGTGGTCTGTAATATAAGCACTTCTTATTCAGTTAAGCTATTCTAAGCCCTCGTTCAATCTCTCCTTATTTTCCCCGATTCATTTTAAACCTCTCAAGTAGTTCTCATTAATCAATGTTAAATAAACGTAAGAGTTTGATTCTCGGTCAATCGTAATCACATATGATCCTTGGTCAATCTGTATTCAAAGTTCTTCTATTTTATAGTCATTTTTCATTACCGGTACATTTTACAGTGATATTTTTTTTTTTTTTTCCAGTTTTCTCAGGAAGGGTCGATAATACACTTAATTTTCAAGAATCATTAAGCAATCCTTCACCTTGATATCTTTGTGATGTTTTGTGATCCCAATAAGGAAGAGGTACACGCTGCCTGTGCGTACATGGTAATGATGTGGTTTTTTTCCATTTGATTACTCTTCCATTACTAACATTTCACAGACCAAAAAATATGAAATAATAAAAATGAAATAATACTAGGACAATGGTATTTTCCAGGAAGAATAGCCCACATGAATAATGAAAAACAATCTGATTGAAAAGACAGTGCCCCATTCTATTTCAACCATTTTCAATTTTGATACACATTCAAAGAACTTATTCTCCTTATCAAGGAAAATACAAATGCTCTTTTTGCAAAATATGTATATTCATATTTATAAGAATACTATATATGATATGTTTAGCACAATTTGCTTATTTCAGCTTTGTTTTCATTGTTGTGGTGTAATCTAATAATTGCAAGACAACCCTCCACCCCCAAAAAAGAAACAACAAACATTTCTATGTCTTTATTCAAAGCTTATACATCCAAGAATGTAAAAATAAAAGATTATTACACCTCCTTCAACACTGTACACAAAAACAAAGCATTTTCAGGGTTAAGAAAAGTTCATATTAGTTTAAAAACATTTTGTCTGGTGTCAATTGATGAGATCATAATGTTTAACATTACAATCTTCAGCATTTTTAATGAAAACTGACCAACAGACAATGTTATAAATTCTCACAATTGAGGCGTGGCAGAGAGACTGGAATTAATGCATGATGGATGTTTTGTTTATATTTACAATTACAAGTTGCACATACCTAGCGAGACGCTTTGCACTGATTGGTTTACGGGCGTTGGCAGACTGTGGGGGAGGGCGTGGCTGGTGGCTCGGAGAGGATGAATTATTGTTGTTGGCCGATGCAGATGCGTTTCGATGGATTGCATCACGAAGAGCCGAGGCATTGGTATGTGCTTGGGCAACCTGGGGAAAAAGATAAACAAGTTCCAGAAACATTTTATCTCTTTGCAACAACAAAAACAACAACAAAGATAGAAGTCGGATGTGATAGTTTAACAAATTCATTTAAAATAACATTTTCATAATTGCAAAATTTCATTAAATTACATTTGAAAATGATCAGACTATTTTGATCATTCTTTGACTATGTATAAGGCATTTTAAACAGACCCAAACCTAAGTATTCAATGGGTTAAACAAAAATGATATGAAGCAACAGACAAACTGAATTTATAGGGCTGCTCAATAAATATTTTAGTTTCATGAGCATCTCTGGGTTCAAGGTCAGGTTACACTGTTTCTAATATTCTCACTATTCAAGTTTCTATTTATAAAAAAAATATCACTGGCTTTTAAGCTTTTAGCACTACCAAAATTATTTAACAAAAAAAAGGTTAAATATAATTAATCAAGTGTTGCCAAATTTAGAATAATTTCATTTCATACAATTTAGGTAAATCTCTAGGTTATCAATTCCGCAGATAATTGCCAATGCTTTTCAACAACATCAAGGATTAATAGTATCGACGTCATAGTCATACTATTGGATGAATAGAATTGGAATTTCAATTAATGATTTGTGAGCTACCTGTATATTATACAACTTGATCAGGGTAGGATAAGCAGATATTAAATTTGCAGATAAGTGAATTCAAAAACTGGTTATGATATTACGATAACACAATCCTAGTGCAAAATATACCTTTGTTGGTCTGAGCATGTAATACATTTTATTCAAGTTGGTCTAGATGGAATAATCAATATCAAGCAAACAAAATCATTTAATTACTTTGTATATACACAAACCATCTCTATTTCAAGAACATATTGAAAAAAAATATTTGATTTTCCTAAAAGCATTACCATTTAATTTTTGGATACAAATGTGGATAGAGTGGATTTTGTGAAAATGTTTGATTGACTAGAATAAATGTGCTAGGTTTGGCTTATCCATTCCATTAATAGACCAATGCATCGTTTTATTTGGTGATGTATAAGGTTTCCCTGACAATACAACAGGCCAACATTTATTTACATAGAGAGCTTTGATGACCACAAGTGATTTAGGAAAGATGCACCCGGACATTAGAACAAGAATTAAAAGCAGATGTTCAAATGGATGACAGTAGCTGTATCTCTTTTGATCTCTTTCGATCTCCAGACAAAATATAGACTATGATTTGAGGTAAAGCCTCTCGTTAACACATTTACTAGTGTAAATGGTTACCATGGATAAATGACTGCATTTGTAAACAAAGGCTGGACTGCACCATCTGGCTGTGCGAGAGGAACGAATTCTACCACTTTCGCCTTAACTCTTAGCAATGGCATTTAACTTGGTGGGTGCAGAGGTTGACTTTTCTCCCCTTCACCTTGCATTGTTTGTTAGAAATTGTTATAAGTTGATTGAAAACTGGGATCTCTGCCAAAGTGACACTCATTCGTACATGTTCACGGATCATCGTGTGGTGAGAGGAAGAACAACCGTTAACACATACACTTTCATGAAGTGTTAAAGCTCTTCTGGCTTTCAAAAAAATATACTGAGGGAGCGGGGTGGTGTGAAGAAATTGGTTCCTTGTACTGGGGTTGAAAGTAGCAAGCCAAGACACGTGAAAGCAATTACAAACAGATGGTTTGCCATCTTCCCTCCATGCCTTCTGACATCTTCAACCAGGGAGCACAACTAGGTCTATTCACATCATTACCCTCCCTCTATTACAACAATGGATGTTACTAACTCACTCAAAATTTGATCATTCTCCATCAGCCATTCAGTCTGCTACAGTTTGATCTCATGGCCAGATATTAGGAAGGAAATCCAAGAAAAGAAATGCTATTCTAGTGAATGCACACAAGCAAGAAGCTAGCTCTCATTCTAAATAGACCATCGGAAACAAATCTGCTTCCATGGCAACTACTTAGTAAATGATAACAAATGCATAATTAATAATGCACCATCATTCTAGAGTATTATTCAGGGGCTCTGAGTTATTACCTACAACTTCCAATGATGCTATAGCCTATGAAAAATTATCCTGCAGCGGACCAAATTAGATAGTTGGTTATGATATAACCTGTTAAGAGTAAGATGATGATATACATGTATCAAACGGGCTTGAGATATACTTATACTTTTCAATCCATTCTAAAGGATGTTGCTGCATTATATTTCAAAAGTTGAGGCATTGAAGAGGGTGTTGGAGGAATCGAGCAAGCATATTGTCAAAAGGCACCTTGGAGCTCCATGCATGTAAAGCATGGTTCAACATGTCCCCATTGGCATTGATCATGATGACTTTAGCAGCACTCGAAAGGTTTGAGATTCGACAAACAATTTACAGAGAGTTTATCTTTCTCTTTTGTTGTTCGTGTGGCTGGATCAGTGATGAAGGTTGGAGATTTGGTTGTAAACAACAAACACGTGGAATCACAGCCTATGACAATGAACCCTACTTACCCTGGCATGTTCCAAGGATGGCCCCCCTGACTGACATACAGGGTTGTTCCCACTCCTGACACCCTGGAACCTCCCTGGGATGTCCAACTACTCTCTCTCTTAAATGGTTAAAGGTAAAGACCAGTTTTGGAAACGCCCCCCTCTCAAAAAACGAAATGGAAGCTCTCATTACCAATCATGTGAAAGAATATGTTTCGACTAATACGTGATCATACAAATTTTGCCGAGAAACCGCCTACTAATTGATATATTTGGTAAATTATTATATCTACTTGGACCTGATAGATATAACGCACGTGTCGCGTAGTCCCATATACATCTTTCTGTGTACAGTGCTTGTAACTTTACCAAGACTGGGCCAAATTTCTTATCATTTTGATGATTCCAGAACCTTGCAGTATACACCAATACTTGGTATATGCTAGATGTTCAACCTTTTCTGATCGATTCCACAAAGTTTCTTTCACAATGCAATCACATGACCATAACTGGTTTTTATCTTTAACATGCAATGCTGTAAGGTTGAGACCAATGTGTTGAACATTGAGAATGTAACTTGGAGTGTCCATGAGAACAAGCCCTTAAATCCAGGAGGATTTCTTTATCAAAACCTTCATGCCCAAGATGCCTCCCTGGTTGAGTCCTAAATCCCAAGTTTACATTTTGTTCTTACAAGACATTCCCATCCCCAATCCACCTTCATAGATACATGTAGCTGGATCTAGGCCTATATATCCTTAAGAAAAAGTTCAGGTTTTGTTAAGGACCACAACAGTTTTGTCAAAATCTATGTCATTTTGGGCACTGAAATTAAACTATTGGGTGAAAGCTCCTGAAAACAAACAATACCAAGCACACCCCCCCCCCCCAAAAAAAAAATCACCCCACATTATATTTATGTGATTGAAATTTTGTGTAAACTGCAATTGATTGGCTGCTTCTAGGTTATGATACTCTCATTTAAATTTATCATATTTTTTACTATAAAATATTATTTACTCAAGATAATCACCTGTTATCTCAATACAATATTTGCAAATTTTTACTTACATGTAAATGAAAAATAATGAAAATATTTGTGTCAAGGAGTTTGCTGAATTTTAGAGATTAAGTATCAATGCTGCAGATGCACTATCTGTCTCTGAGTGTGTGTCCATGTATTCTGGGAACTTCCGTGCCTGGGCAGGGTATTCTTTGAAACTATTAAACTTCAAACCAGCTCTCATGCAGCTAAATGGTCACAAAAAAAGTAGTTTCAATTTAAACTTAAATGGTTACCGACTCTCATGGGGAGTAGAAAAAAAAACTGTTTTTCTGATGATTTAGGAGGGGAAAGTCAATCAGACCACCGAGGAGATTGGATTGGTCCTACGTGCCAATGGGAAGGTGTTGGAAGAAAAGATGAAACATTTCTCTGGTGATGCCGACAAAGAAAAATGATTTACAGCCTTCCATCATTATCTTCTAAGGGGAATTCCCTTATGGTTTGGGGCTCTAGAACCCCTTTCAGATGGAGCTGATAGACAATTCTGCTCCTTGTCTAAAGATACAAAATGTTATACTTTAAAATAGATTAGAATCAAACACTGAAATCATTGCAAGGTGCTGAGATAGTTCACCATTTCACCAACATCAAAGTAACAAAAACAAAATGCACAGATCTCAGCTCTCACTCATTTCAAAACACAGTGCTTTCAAAAGAACAAATAGAAGGTAATAATAATAATAATAATAATACAGCATTTATTATGCGCCATCGATCTAGTAAACTATTCTGAGGCGCAGAGGGATATAATTAGAATGAGATACATAGAGAAATGAGAAGGGGGAAGAAAAAAGAAGGAAAAAAAGAAAGAAAAAAGGTAGTTCAACAACTTACTATAGATTACAACTTGGTCTATGGAAACAAACAAAAAAGTTGTGGGGACACACTCAACAAGTTCAGGATTACTTAACACATAAAAAAAGTTATCTTTTTTAAATTTACAAGTCACCCCATTATGTAAGTAATGAACGTCAATTTTGTGTAATTACACATGAGAAGAATCTACTGTAAGATGCTAAAATGTATGATAAATCTACATCTCTTTGAGGACGAGCAATTCAAAAGGCAAATAGCTAGCTTGAGAACACTTTGCAAGTTTAACGTTTAAAGGAAGAACCTCAGCCTCAGGATTGCACTGGTAATCCTAGATAAAGACTCTTTGAAATACTACAAATACAGTAGAAGCAGTATCATATGGGTCTGAGATTAGTGACCAAAGCTCATCCGTATGTCTCTATCTATTCTAACTCTTCCCTATTGCTATGAGACATGTAACGAGAACAGATGATGGTGATGAGGGAGATGGAGCTGCGTGGAGGTTGAGGAAGGAGCACCCAGGCATTGAACCAAGGTGAGATGGGAACTCCGTGGAGGCGTCTCCATGGTAACGCATCACCCCGATTGATAGATCCAATCAGTGAAGGATTCAAACTGTTCAAAAGACTGCTAATCATAACG